CCATAGAAATGAAACACAGTAGAAATTAAAATTTTTTTTAGAATCGAAAGCGTTTCATTAGATTCACAAATTTGGACTTTGTACTTCTGGACATGAATTTTACTTTCACACTTTCATTATATAATTTGTACTTAAAAATTAATTTTATTACGTTATGACACCTCAAAAAAGATAATAATAATTATTACAAATGATATGATAACCCTAAATACCTTTCGTACAAAGTTCAACCATGTTTTATGTAACGAAACCAAGTGTCCGGATACTTATGGACGGTAGTGTAAGTAGGCTGTATGTTTCACGTCAGAGTCTTGCTGAAAATAAAATTCATCTAATTAATTCTAATTCATCTGCACTGTTTTGTAAATTTTCTTTTAAAATATTTAAATATAAATGTTTATCCATTATTTTATCTATTATTACTAAATTGCCGCCTCCAGAAGCTGCAATACATCACATTTCGACCTCTGTATTTCGTCGTCGATGGCATATTTTTGAAATCCAATTCAGTATTAGCTTTCCGCCCTACTTTTTTACTACCGTCCGATTCAAAAATATTAAATTTTAACTCTTCGGAAAAATACTACGTATTCACAGAATTCGTCGCTAGCATGTATTTTTCTGCAAATTCTAATCTCTTTTCTATTTATTTTACTTATGTGTGGTTTCTTTCGTGCAATTCTACTGTTATATCCGGCCCGGTGCAGCACTCTTCATACTATTTTATGGCGAACTTATTGCCTTCGATTTTAGGTAATTTGCTGCTGTAAGTATTATGTATAATATACAGCTATATATAATTAAATATACTTAATAACATAGAAAATATTGTTCTTATTTCTATATTTCAAGTGTACAAATACTTTTATCCTCCACTGTATATCCTCTTTCAATTTGATTCAGTATAATTTATTAATTTCTTCAACGTACCTTAATGAATATTTTTAATATTCTTTGTAGATATGTTTCAATTTTTCTTACTAAAGTTTTCACTTTATTAAACTTATTAAATTTTTCATTTCTTACTTATTAGACGTTTTGCTTTTTGCTTTTCACTCTTCACAAATTAAGTTCATAAACAACAAATGTGTGATATATCGGTCTTTCATTACTCATTAAGTACATTTTAACATTAATATATTATTATGATACATTACTACGGATCTTCCCTAGGGAAAATGGTGACGTACAGAGCACTACACTCGCCTCGAGCGTTATCATATAAATATATTATGCTAGATAATGGTATAGTATTATCCAGCATAATATCTAGCTATAATGCATAATTATACACTTCAAAGCTGAAAGGTCTATGTATAAATCTAGTGTTCAAAAAGTGTCAATATGTAATCATTAATTAAATGAATTTCTACTCAAAATTCAAATTTCAGATTTATTTAAAATGACGAATACTTATTTATGTGTACAGATCATTTTAAGTATAACAAAATGCTGATACATGATATAGAATGCACAATACAACTAACATTAAGATTATGACAATTTATAATAATAATATTTAAAATTAAGGTGAAGTGGGGTAAGTTTGTATATCCAAGTTGCAATATTAAAATGGACAAAAAAACTTGAAATGTTATGGCAATTACTATTATGCAATTGTTGACTATGTAAATTATACTCTAAATTCACCTTGTAAGGTTTTACATTTTTTTAAACTGAATGAAACAAGACTTAAAAGATAACAGAAATCTTGATATCTTTAATGAGAATCAAACGAATTAATGGCACATTTACTGAACTAAACATATAAATGAAATTCGAAAAATGTTAAATTGAGTC